TATATCGTGAATTGGCAGAGGTTAGAATTCATGGGCTGGCCATTGGATCGGGTCCCAGTGGCTTAATGGTCTACGGGCTCGTCTTGTAACCAGAAGGTCTTGGGTTCGAATCCCGTTGGGTGCGTACCGCCGAAGAGTCCCAAACTAGGACGAAACAACTGTCCAGTACTCCCAGGTTTTTCAATGGTTCTCTAATCAACGTCAGCTCATGATGAAATCCTGTAACCAATCAAATCCCTACAAACCAATACTTGAAAATTCTATATACATTAGAACACTTTCAATCCACTACTAGACTCAATCTTGCGTGCATTCCCTTGTTTATCGTTTAGCAATGTGTCTACATATAGAAACGTTGAAGTTTCTGTAGTGATCGGGTTGATTTTCCGGTGGTAGGATTGCTAGTCCCATGTCCAACTTTCCCATTTTTCAAGCCTTAGAACTAGGCTAGTAAACTAGGGAAGATTTATAATTATTTCAGTGTTTAATATTACTCATACTCAAAGATCTACAGGCAAAAATCAACAAGTTATCAGAAGGAAAAGCTAAGGCAGCACACGCGACACTAGTTAGTGTCTAATCAAAGTATCTAATACAGTCCTGCAGGAGGTCAACCCCGAACCCTCAGATTGCAGCGTCGGGTAACACGGGTATGAATCTGAGAAGGAACATGAGTTCCTTCGAGACTGCAGATACGCCTTGCTGGCTGGTAAGTGCCAACAAGCACGAAACCTAAGTTGAAGGCTTCTTGCTGATTGCCTTGAACCATGCAATAACAACCAATCTGAGTGCATTGTGTTGGCGAGTCACCTAGCATGGTGGCCAAATCGCAAACTTAACTGATTTAATTCAGTCTGCACCAAACAAAAGACTAGATACATCATACTAGCTAGTGTCCAATCAAAGAAGGCATGACTCCACATGAATATACAAATGACAGAGGTAATAAAGATGACTAGCCAACAATAACAAGCACCAATCACTATTAACGGGAGAAACTCGAAGGATGTCCCGTCTTTCATTCATCCAGACAGCATGTATTCAGCCACAAGCCGCACGGGTAAGGATACCGGAGGCAGCATTGGAAAGGTAAGACAGATAGGTATTCATTACTCTGAAATCAGTGAGGAAATCTAATGCACTCAGCATCAAGAAAAGAATTCGGATTTTTAGTCAGTCTGTTCTTCAACATGGTAAAGAGACTTGAAGCGTCACAGAAAACTTTCTCCAATAAACAAACTACTGCAGAATTCTATCAGTAACTGCTTTTGCTGGCTCAATACTGGGGATCAGATGTCTGGCTAGACAGGATAAACAACAACAAGAACCGATCATCCGAAAAATATATGCCGAAAAAAATGGAGATGGATAGCGGGGGGGACACTGTGGAGACCGTTGACCAACATCGCCCAAACTCGAATGGGAAACGACGAAATGGGTCTGGGCTTGATAGTGATATGAAGGAGGAGATGACAGCTTTTGGAAAATAGTGAAGTTAGGTTAAAAGGACTAAGGAGAGAGGTGCTGTTGAAGCCCTATGTTCCAGCTGTAACCCAAAACAATACCAACAACACCACTATATGAAATAATAGAGAAGATTTGTAGCTCAGGTGGATGATTTGCAAAGACCACAAGAAAATCCATTCTGCCATACACGAGGAATATCTCTGAAATAACAGCTAGAATACTGAAGCCGTTTGATATAGATATAGCACGCAAGCCAGTCAAATCGCTTAATTCGATATTATGCAAACCAAAAGATCCAACAAAAAAGGAGATAAAATTAATACCATTTACAAAATAAATTGTATGAACTGCAACAAGCATTACATCGGCCAAAGTGGGTGTCCCCTTCGAATCAGAATTCAAGAACACAAATCAGCCGTGGAAAGACACGATATGTACTCTTTAGTATCAATGCATTAAGACAATTATGGTCATCAATTTGATTGGGATAATGTCAAAATCTTAGACAGAGGAAACACCAAAAGTACTGGCAGGGAATTCCTAGAAGCCTGGTACTCAAACGAAAATGCAATTAACAAACACGTTAATATAATAGACGAAATATACCAACTAATAAAAAGTAAATCAGGTGACCAGAAAGTTTAAAATCCAAGTCAATAGAAAATTATCAATACATATGTAAAGACGGTTAACAGGAAACGCGATTATATCACTCATGAAGAAATTTAAATAATTTCACTTTATGCTAAAGATGTTGTCCAGCAGGGGGACGACGAAAACTCCGCAACTAAACCAACCAGCTCAGAGAACACTATTAATTGCAAAACACCACTAAATAACAGTGAAGTAACCATTCTCATTTTCAGAAATAGCAAAATAAATATGATAGATATCACACTAAAATAAAACATAAGTAAAGTAAATCTAAATGTCAAATGTTTGTAGAACATTCACTAGATAGTCCTAATGAGTACATTTCAAAGTATATGCATGATGATTAAAATATTGATTACAGTGTAGTTTTATCTATACATTAATTAATTAATTAAGAATATTATAATAATAATAATAGCTTAGCTTTATTCTTCTGAATCAACAATGACACTTGCATTGTACTATCACACAGACGGTATTACCAGTCATTTTGTGAAGAGTTATGCTTCTCTGTATAAGTATAGGTGTATACAAAGCCCTAACACCTACGGTATTATTAGCTTATCATACACTATATATATATATATTTTCCAATTATTATTACACTGAGCTTCCTTCATATTAGCCAACTAGTAACCACACTACACCAGTACTTAAAGCAACAATAAGTTAGAGAGTTATACAAAAACTTTTCTCTCATCATTATAAGACTGAATTTTTCTAACCAGAACAATAAGGTCAAAAGTGCAAAAAACACTTTCAAGATACATATTACTTACCACAGTTAGAATAAATTAAGTAATAAATAAATAAATAAATATTATCACCAACCTTTATTTAGCTTACAGTCTAGCAAAATATCATATTCTATTGGTAAAAAGGTAAGTGAATAACCTTTCAATAGCCATAAGCTTTTTGATTGGTCAGTATCTTTTCTTTTTATCAGTCTGTTAGCTATCTGATTCCAATAAATTTTAGTGTTATCACAAACTTAAACGCATAATATTAGTAGAACACATCACATTTATTTATTTGCGCTCCAAGTGAAATTTGGGGCTTCGAGATGTAGTAGTGGCGTTTTCGTCCTGTGTTTTTTACGGGGTAGGGTAGTTGAATTCAAGGATAACCTTCCCTCTTCACTGGGCTTATTTCCCACATAATTGTATTTTATTGGTGATACTAATATTACTTTCGAATATATTTTATCTTATATTGTTTTTATTGAAATGTCTAATCAATATTTACTCATGTATATAAAAGAAGCAAGAAAGTTGTGTGAGTAGTGCCTTGATATGATTATGAGTAGCAGAGCTAAATTGTGCTCGAAACGTGGTCATCAGTAAATATTACTGTATAACAAGCACTGTGTGAATTTAGCAAAATAAAATCTTATCTATAATGGAGTTATACTCTACCACAGTGTTCAAGTTTTATCCTTATATCAATTATGTAATTTCTTATTCATTATTACATTACAATGAAATTTCCATGGATATGAACAATAAAATTTTTCAACTCCAAAGACAAGCTTGTTATTGATTACTCTAAACAGAATCACTTATGTGATCATATTGTTTCATATACTTTCTATCTCTCTTTATGAGCATGTTCTTGTCAGTTAGCTAGTACAATTCTGAACTATAAACACATTGGTTACTAATATGATAGTGACAATCTATAATTAGTGATTTTTTTAATTCATTATTTGGCTTCAAAAGAAAACCAAATTATTACTTATCTACTTTATATTCCTTTTAAATCAGACTAATTAAAAAATTATCTAAATGTAGTCTGAGGTTAATTTTAAGTCAATAGTGAGTATAGGTGTATATTATATTACACTTTTTATTCTGCCAACCAGCATCAAAAATAAGATCCGGATTTTCAACTCCAATGTGAAGTCAGTGCTACTTACTATACGGATCAGAGACTTGCACTGCGCGTCATAAACAGCATCTCAAACAAACTACAGACCTTCATTAACAGTTGTCTTCGCTCAATACCACTCAAGATCAGATGGCCGGCCAGAAAAGATCAGCAACAGAGATCTCTGGCAATGAGCGAACCAACCAAGAACCGATTGTGAAACAAATAGGCAGGAAGAAATGCAGATGGATTGATTGGCCATACTCTGAGGAAACCATCAAGTGACATCACTAGACAAGCCATCGCTCGAGTGGAACCCGACAGAATGGGAAGCGGCGAGTTGGTCGTCAGTGCGAGGGTGACTTGGAGGAGGTCATGTGAAGAGGAGATGAAAGCATGTGGGCAGACTTGGAGCCAGGTGAAGACTCTAGCAGAGAACCGAACGCAATGGAGACGCGTGGCTGAAGCCCTATGTTCCTCTAGGAATTAAAGGAAACAATAATAATAATATAACCAGCTTGAATCACTAGGCTACCTGAATTTCTATCCAACACTAGGACGAAACAGCTGTCTGGTACTCTCAAGTTTTCCAATGATCCTCAAACCGATATCCCTGCAAACCAATGGTTGAATAAGAATGCATAAAATGTCCTCTGTTTCTTATTATTTCAATTATTCAGTTATACTACTGGGTTCGAAAATGTACTAACACACATTTTTAATTGGCCTTCAAACTAACGGTGCGCATTTTTCGGAGAGACAAAACCACCACGGTGTCACATGATATACTCAAGACTGGCATTTCGCTTAAAGATCCTGAAAGAAGCGGAAACGTTATGCCATAAATTACTCCGAGTATTCTGTACATTTTTGTAAATATTTTATCCAGAATTAAGCAAACCATTATTGTTAGTAGTAGTAATATTTTCTGATTTGCCTTTATTTGTAAAAGATCAGAGTACCTTCTGTGTGTATATATGATTTATTAATATAACCGCATACATGTCACTTACATAGCCTGGAGTAACACCATATTCATTAAGAATCAGTCCAGTTGTATAAATTGCTTTCACTCCACCACGCCAGCATTGAGTAACATTGACTATAAGTACTCCACGGTCAGAAGCTTCTTTCAGTGCATCTAATAGATCTTGACGTGAACTTGGAACATTACCAGCTCCGTAGGTTCGAAGAACAACCCCTTAAAAATATGAATTAGGAAGAACAAGAAAAAACATTGAGAACATAAGTGATTGATGTATAAATCTTATTATTATTATTGTTCCCTTGGGTTCCTAGTGGAACAATGGGCTTCAACTGCACGTCTCCACTTGCTTCTGTCTTCTGCTGTACTTTTCACCTGCATCCATGTTAGTCCATACTGTTTCAGCTCCTCTTCACACGATCTCCTGCATGTCACCCTTGCACCGACGAACCACTCGCCGCTTCCCTTTCGGGTTCCACTCGAGGGCCTGACGCGCGATGTCACCCAGCGGCCTCCTCAGCGAGTGTCCAATCCATCTCCACTTTCTCCTGCATATTTGTTGGGCGATTGGTTCTTGTTCTTTCCGGCCATCTGATCTTCAGTATAGAGCGAAGACAATTGTTGATAAAGGTCTGCAACAGGCTGTTGGAAATATTCTTTGTGACACACTGGCCAAGTTTCTGATCCATCCGTATAGAAGAACTGACTGACTTGACGTTTGTATTGAAAATCCGAATTTTGTTGTTGATGCAGGCTGAGTGACGAAGATTTCCAGATTGGTTTCAGGTTGATGAATGTGTTTCTCGCCTTTCCGATTCTATAAATCTAATAGTGTTACGTTATTAAATTGGAAATAAGTTTTAGTTAAGTCAGTACTTCTAGTCGTGTGAATAACTCTTCACCGGAAAATCCATCCAGCTGCACAGCCATATTCCTGAGGCCTGAACAGCTCAGTGACGAAGTCTTTGGCTGAAACACGAAATATAAATCTAAAGCTTTCCACTGACAGACTGTTTCCATCATATAACATCAAGCTTAAGCGAGCTGCAATATATAGAAATATTGTGTCTGTTAGCTTGGGGGCTACACTGTTTACATAATCGACAAAATTTAACCAACACACATAGGATATAAACAGTCACACTGGATGTCATTCACTGACCATTTCGCAGTACACTGTATGTCAGGGAAAGTCGTCCACTTCATTGCTTACTGAGGCTGGTGTCCCTCAAGGCGCTGTCTTTTTTCCTTTTCTGTTTTCTTTCTTCTTGCATGACTTGCCTCACTCTGATGAAATGAACTTTGTTAAGTATGCCGATGATCTAACTATTTCAATGTCTGTTAACTCCCAGCTTGACTGCACTAAGATAAACAACTTTCTATCAGGAATTAGCAAATGGTCTTCGTCTAACGGCCTTAAACTTAATCCTTCCAAATGTCAGACTGTTAATTTCAGTTTCCGATGTAAACGAAAGTTAAATGAAGCCGTTGGTTCCTATGACCCTTGCAAAATCGATGATACTGATATAGAAACCAAGTCTGAAGTTAAGTATCTTGGATTAATTCTCTCTTCTGACCTATCCTGGTCCTCCCATGTCTTAGCGATTTCTAAAAGAATATTTCGTCTGACTTTTTACATTAAGAAGTTAAGGCACTCAGGCATAACTCAACCACTCCTCTTACAGTTTATCAACTCGTGTATTTTACCTATTCTTCTTTACTGTTCACCCTTATTCTTTCCTGGATTGCTTAAAAAGGACTATGTCATACTTCGTAGAACTCTGAAGACTGTCAGTAGGACGAGTGGTATCCCATTGGGCCATATCGTTGACATTGTCACTGATAGGCACTTGATGTCATGCAACAAATTTGCTAAAGGAATTTTGTCAGACTGTGAGCACCCACCGCAGCACCCGCAGCTCCAACCTTGTGTCTCCTCAGGTAAAACAAGAAGTCTTTTCAGAAGACTTTATGCACGTACGTCTAAGTATAAAAATTCCACTATACCATATTTAGCACGTACTTTATGTGATGAAAATAGTGTCAGACATGAACTAACTAACCTTCTTAGCACCACTAAATAAACCATTTCCTTCACCCTTAAAGCATCAAACTTTATTGTTATTGTATTTCTTATATTTATAATCCTCTCAATTTTTTGTTTTGTTTATTTTTTTTCATAAGTGTGGACATAATTTAAGCTGTATTATAACTGTTAATTTTGTATTTCCCCTCACTATACTATATCAACAGAACATTAGATCCAATAATCTATAACATGCTAAAGTTTCCAAACTGAATCGACAATACCGTTTGAAACAAACTCACTGTTATTATTATTATTATATTTAATAATCTCAATTCGTGCTTCGAATATTTTTGACTTTATATCGTAAATGTGGACAAATTCCTCCGATTAATTTTGTTTTAATTTTTAATTTTATTTATATTTTGAGTAAATCAGATGCAATATTGTGACAAATACTGAGAATTCCATTCTGTATTATAAGTACTGTTTTTGGAATAAAGTAGATTATTATTATTAGTTTGTGCATATATTCTTACACTGACATGATTTCTCAATGTTGCTGGTGTGTTTTTAATCTGAACAGTTGAACTGTACAGCCAAAATAAACAACATTTTTTTATTCTTTAGGTACACTTGTAAGCACTTGTATTAATCTATGTAAATCTTAGAACACTTTAACACGTTGTCTTTGTGTTCAACAACATTCCGCATGACTCACAATATAAATGACTTTAACGAATAAAAGAAGTGATTATTAAATGGTTGGAGGCAATCGGTAGGAAGCCTTGCTCGACCTAGGTTTAGTGTTAGTTGGCACTCACCGGTCAGCAAGGCGTGTCTGCATTCTTCAAACAACTCATGTCCTTTCTGAGATTCGAACCCACTTCACTCAATGCTGCACTCAGAGACGTTACCGCTGGGCTATTCGGGCTTGCGATTAGCCTCCTATAGGACTGCACTGGATACTTTGATTGGACAGGCTGGTTCGAATCTCAGAAGGGACATGAGTTCCTTCAAGGTTGCAGGCACGCCTTGCTGACTGGTGAGTGCCAACTAGCACGAAACCTAGGTCGAAGGCTTTCATCCGATTGTGCACCCAACCATCTAATATCAACAATTCGAAGTGCACTTTGATATCTAGACATCTAGAATGGTGGCACCACTGCAAACTTTCCTAATAGAATTCAGTTTGCACTACACTAGTTACTCACTAGTTTCCAATCAAAAAGTCATGAGATTACCAATGACGACAACAACAAGAGTTCAAACAGTTTTGTTTCCATATGCTGACACAGTTTTCTTCTCATGCGATGTTAATTAGTTAAATTCCATCAGTAAATTATTTATATTACTGGCAGTCAAATGTATTCAGGTTTTCATAAAGAAAATTACTAGGAATTTTCCATTCATAAGCATATCACATACAATATAACTTGAAACATAATATCACACTGGGGTTCAAAATAAAATCAAGACTCGTTAAAAAAATATAAATGTTGACAACTGACAAATTACAGGGATACTTGGTCGAATAATAAATTAATCTTGATTGGACACTAGTTACTGGTGTGACGTATCTAGTCCTTCTTTGGTGCAGACTGAATTCTATCAGTCAGGTATTTGCAATGTGGCCACCATTCTAGGTAGCTCGCTGTCACGATGCACATTGATTTGATATTAGATAGTTGGAGGCAATTGGCAGGAAGCCTTGGACCTAGGTTTCGTGCTAGTTGGAACTCATCAGCAAGGCGTATCTGCCGATTGCCTCCAACTATCTAATATCAATAAATTCATCTGTTCATAAGATAAATAAGAATAGAAAACAGATAAAGAATACCGTTATTCAACCCTATTTTCAATCCTTCCTTAAAGAATCCTTTGTTGCTGTAAAAAAACAAACACAACGTGTAATTGAACTAAATCATTTCAAGTGCTGGTTTGCAGGGATTTGATTGGTTAAAGGATTGATCACAAGCTGGCGTCAGTTAGAGAACCACTGTACAACCAGGGAGTACTGGACAGCTATTTCATCCTACATCTACATGTCCAAACCAAGTTCACTTTTAACAGTTTGAAAAAATTTGGGCATTGGGTATATGATATTCATTATAATAAAGGTTTTCTTGTATTTCCCAATGAATGAAAAACAAAACGATATTGTTGTTTTTACTGAAGTTTCGCTATTTAATGCTGCTGCTAATAGCTTTATCAAAGTATTATTAAACCAGAATTTACAAAATCTCAGCTTATGTATGTAACAACTTAATCCATATAAAAGACCAAATCCCTAAAAATTCTCTGTCTAATTGTGTCTATAAAATAAAATGCTTGGAATGTGATGCGATATACATCGGACAAACATCTTGAGAAATCAAAATCACAAGAAATGAACACCGTAGAGCATCTGTTCGACCACCGAGAAATCCAGTTGGACTAGAAAAGCTTGAAAAATCATCAGCCTTATGTCGTCTACAGGCTACGCTATCGAACCAGGCCACAAAATTGATTTAGACAATATTGAAATAGTCCAGAAAAATTTCAGAAATCACAAAGGACGTCTCATATCATCAGAAGCCCTTCATATCATCAAATAGAATCCGAATTGTCTGAATAGGAATGATGAACTAAAACAGAATTTGACCTGATTACAACACCTCCCCCCTCCCCCATGAAATGACAAAATCAACACGGATGTGATGAGCAATTTCATTATATAGACACACGCTGTTTTCCATAATTTCAAACTCTTATCAAATGCAACAGTCTACACCTGGTTTTGTTATCTTTACCAATTGGCCAACTTGACAACGCGAAAATGCCCCCATGTTGAGGAACGATGATTAAGTTTTTATATAGAAGCTGAGATTTTGTAAATTCTGGTTTAATATCCTCCTCTGATAAAGCTATTGGCAGCATTAAATAGCGAAACGTCAGTAAAAGCTATTTCATCCTAGTTTGGGACCCTTCATCTCAAGACCAGACCTTTGATGCTCACTAGCTACTGGCTGTATACAAAAAGCTACCTAGAGTTCTAATGAGAAATCGTGACCAGCGGGGTTCGCTAAGTCAGATAAGAGGACAGTTACTCGCCGATGGCGGTTGCGCTGTATATATCACGAATTGGCAGAAGCTGAAATTCATGGACCATTATATTTCGTCCCAATGGCCGAATATTATACGGGCTCACCTTGTAATGAGAAGGTCCTGAGTTCGAACACCGGTGGATGTGAAATGCTGAAAAGTCTCACACTGGGACGAAATGGCTGTCCGGTACTCACTGGTTTTCTAGTGGTTCTGTAAATGATGTCAGCTCGTAATCAAACCTGTAGATCGTTTCACTTTGACTTCACTTTGAGTGGAAACTAATATAATTATGGTATATTGTATATTCCAGTCTCTGAAATTCAAGGTCAGTATATATAAAAATTGTGTACATAATACCTATTTTAAATATATGATGAGAACACTTACCTTTAATTGGTGGTGCCAGCATTGAAACAATATGCTCTTTAGATATCAAAGGGAACATGTTAAGGATTGCAACATCTTGACATAGATTTGTATGAATACAGAATGGTTTAGGCATTCCAGGTGTTCGAAAAATCAGATCATAATTTACTACAATTTCAGTGCCTAATTCAGCGATTGCTGGATAATTTGGTGATTCAAACGCATCGAAATTATTACTTGAGCATTTTACCACTCTAGAACCACGAAATAACTGAAGAAAGAAAGTGAAAAAAAAACTATAATAGACGGACAAAATATATAAAGTTAACTGTAGACTATTATCTTTTCTTATTAAAAGAAAATAAATTATAATTAAGCAGAGAGATTCCCCAACTAATCAATATAACCAACTGCAAAAAATGTAAAGTATCACATAATCAATACATGTCCTGTAGACCATACCTTGTCAGTCGAATAATTCAAAGTGATTGCTGGGTTTAATGCATCCGTTCAGCAGTTGAACTCGTTGAATAAACTAGATTGACTTCACTTAGAGAACCACTGTAAACCAGGGTGTACTGGATAGCTGTTTCGTCCCTGTTTTGGACTCTTCACAGTACGCACCCATAACACTGTCAGGAATCAAATCCAGGACCTTTGAGTTAAAACGTGAACCCGTATACCATTTAGCCAATGGGACGGAATCCAGTGACCCATAACTTCAAACTTCTGCCAGTTTGCGATATAACTGATCACATCTCTGACTGCACCACTGGGTGACACAGGTTTGAATCTCAGAGGGGGGCATGAGTTCCTCCAAGGTTGCAGATACGCCTTACCGAAGAGTACTAACAAGCACGAAGCCTAGATCGAAGGATTCCTGCCGATTGTCTCCAACCATCTGATAACAACAGTTGCTAGTGCTTTTTGATAGTTATTACTTTAAAAAACTAAAATAATTAGACAAATTTAATTCATCATGAGCTGACATAAGTTAGAGAACCACTGGGAAACCTGGGAGTACTGAACAGCTGTTTCGTCCTGGTTTGAGACTCTTCATCAGTACGTACCCACCGGGATTCGAACCCAGGACCTTCTGGTTACAAGGCGAGCTCGTAGACCATTGAGCCACTGGGACTGATGTCAGCTCATGATGAAATCCTCCATGCAATTAAACAAAATCCCTACAAAACCAATACTTGAAAATTAATCTGATGCTCACTAGTGACTGGCCCTATTCAGGCTGTTAACCTGGGGTTCTAGTGAGAAGCCGTGACTGGTAGGGTACAGCAGGTTGAAGATGAGGCAGTAACTCATCGAAGAAGAAATTGCGAAATGGTCGCGCAATGTCGTGAATTGGCAGAAGTTAGAATTCATGGACCATTAGATCGGGTCCCAGTGTCTTAATGGCCTACGAGTCCGCCTTGTAACCAGAAGGTCCTGGGTTCGAATCCCGGTGGGAGAGTACTGATGAAGAGTCCCAAACTAGGACGAAACATTTGTCCAGTACTCCCAGGTTTTCCAGTGGTTCTCTAACTGATGTCAGCTCATGATGAAATCCTCCATGCAATCAAACAAAATCCCTATAAAACCAATACTTGAAGATTCAATTCAATTTGAACTTTCCTGCTTTATTCAATTCAAATGAACTGTCGTCAAGATTTGACCGAATAGTTCTAAAATATTTGGGCGCCGAGTGAGAAGTAGACATTTGTAAAAAATTATATTTGTAAAATCTCAGCGATATTGAAATAAGTAATTGATCAATTTCCTAAGAAGTTCGGACCAGATTGCCGAACGAAACGTTGGAATTACTTATTTCAATATCGCTGAGATTTTACAAATATAATTTTTTACAAATGTCTACTTCTCACTCGGCGCCCAAATATTTTAGAACTATTCGGTCAAATCTTGATGACAGTTCATTTGAATTATTTTGCTATCGAATTAAATTAACAAAGAAACTATGTAGTTGGCACAATCATCGTGTTTTCAGTCTCCGTTGTCTGGAACAAAATGCACATCCTAAATCCGTAGCTGTCGAGTCACCTGACAACCCCAGTAGGTCGAATAAGGCAGCTCAATATTCAGAAAGAAGACAATGCAATAAGTTCGACAGGGTGCTTAAACTAAACTCTAATCCTAAACACCATAATTTTGAAAATACGTCTAATCATAAAATTCTAGATACTAGCATTTTGAACGGACATGAAGGTTTGATGTTAGCTGATGCAGAGGAAATCCTGATTAATAAATAAAAATGGATATGTATCACTAATTAATAATACTTGGTCAAATTCCTGACTGTCTATATCTTCCTATGGAGACGTTGAGAAATGTTTTACAACTGTTTACACACACACGCATGCACACTCTGTTTAAAGTATTTAACAAAGGTAGACCACTATTTGTAAGTCCGAGGTCAAATTTTGATCACAGCTCATACAATTTTGTTTATTATACTTGTTAATACTTGTGTTTATGAATCATGATTGGACAAAGTTTTTAAAAAGATGTACCTTTTATATATAAAACCTGTGTTATGTTAATTTTGATTAATTTCCCTGAAGAAGTTCGGACCAGTCCTGCTTTATGATTAGACCGAAGTGCTCGGCCTCAGGTTGACATGTTGGCTTTTGTACAGATGCTTCGACGATGTCTGATTATTTTTGGTATTTTGTTACAACTATGGAATTTTCAGCATGTGATATCGGTGGCCCAAAATTATCAGGCCGACCATTGATATCAGGTGTGCGTCGGCCTTGGATCGAACTCCGAGCGAGTGTCCTAACCGCTGTGCCTCCGACGCACAAATAGTTTGTGAGAGAGCTGGAATACTGCCATTCCACTGCCAAATATTTATTATACACACAGTGTATAGTGCAGGTACCTAAGATAAAGTCATCTAGTTAGTAAAAGTCTGAGGATAGGTAGTTAAATTTCATTTCAACAGAAAACCACGCCACAACAGAGTTGAATTTCAATTGTAGAAACAACGATCGAATATTGACTCATTAGTCGTATTGTTTTTAGGCAAAACACTATACTAATAAAACACTCAACATGGACACACAGACACAAAAAAGGATTATTTACAAAAATCCCATTCATACTTACTTTGTCATGAAAGAATACTGTCACTTCGCATATTGCATATTTCCCACCAGCAATCATTAATGCACCAAGAAAATTATTCCATCCATCACTACGAAATTCAAAGACAGGAAGTTGTGCTCCAGTAAGAACAACTGGTTTCCCCAAATTCTCTAGCATAAATGATAAAGCTGACGCTGTATAAGCAAGTGTATCAGTCCCGTGTAATACAACGAATCCATCGAATTGATCATAAAAAGCATAAATATCCTGTGCTATACGCTTCCATTCATTCATACTTAAATCAGATGAATCCAACAGTGGCCAATATTCGACAATTGTATACATGATTCGATGTCCTGTTTTATCAATTGGTAAGGCATAGGTCTGTATATGATCAGATGCTGTTATGCTAGATTGGCGTCTTGAACCTCGTGAATATAAAACGCTAGAATGTCTTGGTATATCACTTTTGCGTAATCTACCATGTATACGTTCATAGTTAAATTGTGTCAGATTAGTTTTAAACCTATATAAAATAATAATAATAACGACTCAATATTAAACTTAGTACAAGATATACATATAAAGTTAAAACCAAAATATCGAAGTGATCAGGTGTTCATAGCTTTTGTCAGGTAAGTCCTATTCACTATATCTTCACGCAGTTGGGGGTGTTCCTCATAAAATGTGAAAGAGTGAATGAAAATGTCTTGGGCTTACAACTGAACTGATGGACATGCAGATCTGTGCAGGCGATTCCAAGCCTATGGTGTAGATGGGCTCCAGAATCCAAAATGATCGAGTGGTGTATGAAAGTGTTTTGATCACTGGAAACCATGGGAATGTAACTCCTGATGCCGCTCTACTGCCTTGTGGATCATGGCGGTGGCCTCTTATGACAACCACCTGTTTCGATTTGAGCTTCCGCGTAGTATTCCAGCCCTGTCATAAACTATTTGCGCGTCGGATCTCTTGGTGCACTTTATGTTAGAAGTTTGTATTTTATTATTATTTTTTCCCTTGGGTTCTGAGTGGAACACGGTTTCAACAACATATCTCCACTTCCTTCTGTTCTCCGTTGTCCTCTTCATCTGGGTCCACGACTGACCATGATCCCTCTTCTTCTCGCACAATCTCCTATATGTCACCCTAGAACCCATTGGGATTCCACTCGAGCGATGGCCTGCATTGCGCGCGATGTCATCCGACGGCCTCCTCAACGTATACCCCCGATCCATCTCCATTTTCTCCTACATATTTGTGGAGCGATCGGCTCTTCGTTGGTTTGTTCATTGCCAGAGTTTCTTGTTGCTTATTCTTTTTGTCTGGCTGGCCATTTGACCCTCAGTATGGAGCCAACCAGCGAAGGAGGCAGCAGTTGATAAAAGTCTGAAACCTGTTGGAAATCCTTTCCGTGACACACAGTGCAAGTTTCTGACCCATATAGTAGGACCAACTTGACATTGGTGTTGAACAGAATCCGAATCTTGTTGTTTATACTGCCTGAGTGCAGAAGATTTCCAAACTGGTGTCAGGTTGATGAAGGCATATCTTGCCCTTCTACTTCTGCCTGGTTGGTTTTGACATCTCCATCCGTTCCACCTATAGTTGAAAAGATGCTTCCTACATAAGTGAAGGAGGTAACCACCGTTAAATCCCTCCCGTTGATGATTGGTGGTTGTTGTTGTTGCTGTTCCTTGGTTATCTAGTTTGTATTTTAGTAAATAAATAATAATCGAAACTGAGAACTTGAGCACTTAGATCCCCTACAAGTATTATTTAATCCAGTGCTAGTGTTGTGACCAAAGACAAACTCATTAACAATGTCTATGTATTACATAGCAGTTGCTGTTTGTTTTGTTTTATTCCCTAGAGTTCTCAGTGAGACATAGGGTCTCAAGCTAGAGCTTTGAAATTCCACCAGTAGTGGTGTTTTTTACTGGATGCGGTTGCTAGACTCACTCCCAACCTTCCTTCTTTGCCGGGCTTATTACCGGCTAAACGAGGTAAAGGTATGTGTCGGCAGGGGATCAAATCCCGGCTACTTGGGTGGTTGGCTGGTGTTCTACCATTGAGTCACCGACGCATTACACAACGCGAAATGCTTGTCAGTTAACGCCGGTATCAAAGGTTATTTCATTCAATCACAAAGTCTGTAGTTATTTAAATGTAAGTGATATTTGAGAATCCAGCAGATCCATTCATTCATCCTTTCTACTTATCACTAACTTAAACATTACCGGTGATTTAATGGCCTGCTGGTAACCCCGACAAACTAACACTACCTTTCACTAATTTGTATTAATTCACATAAGTATTTTCATCATTCCCATACCTTGAAATTTACGGCTCCTCATTAATTAGCATATAACTATCTGGTTAGTATAGGTAAAATGTAGACCTAGTAATTAGAAACGAACTGAAAAAGAAGTGTGTTCTTCACCTAACTTGTAGGCATTTGAATGTCTATATGGAATGGTCACTTATATACTAATCATTCACATAACGCCTGGATAAAATTCCTGGCCTCCGAGCACGTGTTTCAAATACGAAATAGACTTATTAGAAAGGGTGCAAAGAGTAGTGGATGCCCGGCGCTCTTCACCGGGTTGACTGTCCATTGGATGACAAACTAGGAGAGATGGCTAAACCCTGATTCCAAACCTCCAACGACTGGCGTATGAAGCTCACTGGAGCTCACCGGCAGACGTATGGAAAAAGGGCTTGTTGGATGTCCTGGATGTCTGGCCCCATTCAAAAAAGGCGTATGAACCGAACTCCGGTCACCGGCTGCCAATGGATAGTGGACTCCCTACTCCACTCCTACTGCCTTGTAGGTCGCACTTGGTTGTGTAAAGGCTAGAGCTGCACTCTCAAACAAAAGGCCGAGCGATTCTGGGGACATCACTCGTACCAAATTCCCATGAAACTTCATGAACTCTCTTAAGTGAATAACCCTGTGGCAAAACGTTGCATCAGATCGCCGCTCGTGGGCAGCGATGATTCGAGGTGTTCATGAAGACGGCTCATCCTCCCGTAGGAGATAGCCGAAGTAAAGTAAAGTAAGTAGTGCAAAGAGTAGTAACTAAGCTAATAAAGGGTTTCTCAACCCTCTCATATGAGGAGAGATTAAATCGACTGGGTTTATTTCCACTGTCATACAGACGACTTAGGGGCGACCTAATACTAGCATACCGTATCCTAAGAAATGATTTCGAAGCTAATTTATCTAATTTATTTCTTCCTTCAAGCACCAACCAATTGCGAGGACCACATCACCACGAGGTTCAAAAAACACGGTTGAATCGTCTGCGTCTGAAGATCCGTTTTTCGCATCGAACTGTGAACCATTGGAACTCCCTACTGGAACACGTCGTATCAGCGCCATCCGTTTATTCATTCAAGGCGAGATTGGACCTCCTGTGTGCAACAAATCGAAAGGATTAACACAGGCATATAGCCTACTATCCTAAATAAACTGTAAACTGTAATGTCTGATCAAAGTATCCATTACAGTCCCACAGGAGGTCAATCCCGAGCAAGAATAGCGCAATGGTGACATCTGTAAATGCAGCACTTGGTGACATGGGTTTGAATCTCATAAGAGACATAAGTTGTTTCAGAATTGCAGACACGCCTTTCCGACAAATGCCAACTAACACGAAACCTAGGTTGAAGACTTCCTGCCTATCGCCTCCAACTGTTTATTAAAAACCAAGTCTATCTAAGAAAGATACTCTTACAACATCATTACTCACTGAGAAATGCAGGTACATCCAGCTGACGAGTCCCAAATAGGACGAAATGCGCATCCTGGATTCCACTGCCAGTCACCACCCACCAATTAAATATTTTACGAGTTGATCACGGACTGATATCAGTTAGAGAACCATTGAAAACCAGGGAGTACTGGACAGCTGCTGTTTCATCCTAGTTTGGGAATCATCGGCAGTACGCACCCACTGGGATTCGAACCCAGGACCTTCCGGTTACAAGGCAAGCTCGTATGCCTTGTAACCGGAAGGTCCTGGGTTCGAATCCCAGTGGGTGCGTACTGCCGATGATTCCCAAACTAGGATGAAACAGCAGCTGTCCAGTACTCCCTGGTTTTCAATGGTTCTCTAACTGATATCAGTCCGTGATCAACTCGTAAAACATAACTAATCCTTACAAACCAAACTATAGAAAATTAAATATTTTCCAAATCAGTTAAAATAATGATGATAGAGAGTAAAAGAGTGCTGTTGCAAAACTTATTCAAAAACACCTTTAATTCATTTTTCACAGAATTATTCATTCTTACTTACTCTGGATCACAAAATGTTGGCATTTTTGATAAAGTAGGCAGAAAAAAGTTTTCCACTGAACAGTATGCACCATTTTCACGTTTCATTCCAATAGTGCCACCGGTGTATAATACAAGAACTCTAGAGACGGATAAACATTCTGTATTTTTCAAAGCTAAATCAACCAATGGCTGATCAATAATAGGGGATCCATGAAAACTAGCCTTTAAAAGATAATATCGATAGTAATCAAAAAAAAAATACATTGGTATAAAACATCATTCATTTAGATGAGTACTGAATGTACTGAAATGTAAACGAAAACATCATTCTTAATTAGACTAAAGCTTTTTAATTTCAGTTGAATAATTGTCATTTCGCATTTGTTTGCAAATCTCATTCGCCGGAATTTGTTAAAAAATACTTAATGCACGATTAAACCTCATAAGCCAACAGTCAAACTAGCTATTCATACCTATGCATATACGAAAAAGACCATTTCGGCATGTTTCCAGCTGTAAGTGTATTTTATTATTTGTGACTATAGTACTAGTGAATGAAGCTCATATGTCTTTTGCTGTTACACTAATGACTGGTAACCAGTTAATGATGAACTTTTCATAAACCAGGTAACAATTGGATATGTTAGTGGCTAACTGACCTACAGATACTTTTGTAAAATATTACATCACAAAGGGAAGTAGGATAATTGGATGAAGATCGGTGAGGGTTTTCAGAATCTGAGTGAGGACAAGCGGTAAATACACATGCGCCAGTGTGAAAAGTTTTATTCACATTCTCAACAATCCCTGATCACTGGTTCCAAAACGACTCAAGCCAAACGATCACCACCCTTTTACATAGCTCAAACTGTCAAACAGTCAAAGAAACCACAGGTTGGTTCCATGTTTTAATCTGACCACTACTAACTATTTTTTCGAAAACTAATCTTTCTTCAGGTCAAATTACTCATTAAGGAAGGTGATGACTTAGCATGTGTAACACCTGCTCTACTCCTTATAATCGATGAAGCCCCACAATCTCATTGATTTACTCTTTCTATCTATCCAACACTAGACCTAATCTCATCGTTGCTGACTGCACTGGCCCACTGAACATGAGACACTGAAAGGAAGTAACTAGGACTTATGCTGGAGTTCAAAATCTTCAAAAAAGCCTAGATAGTTTGAGGATACACTAATAGCATAAAAAGGTGTACACGCTGAGAGGTAGAATGGAGTTATTGAAAAAACTTGAATCTAATGTACGCCTTACGATTAACGTAGAAAATCGAGTCTTTGATTGTGCATACAGTGTTTTTCTACGGTAAATATGCTCCAATATTTCCTACACACTCTATCAACTGATGAGATTACTACAACAAGAGGAAAACGGCAATTAGTTGATTGCTCATCGATCCAACCTTGACATATATTTGGGCACAGTTCTTACATAAAACATTTTATGCTGATTATGCAACCGAATTCGGTTGGCATGGTGAAGGATGTGACGTAAAATTAAAACGTTTATCACTTCACAATTACTCAGTTGACAACACTACATGCTGTGTAATGCATAAAAAGCTACGGTGAAACCATACCCTATAACAGTGCGCATGCTTCGTGCTTATATTAGCGTTAGGCGGTTTATTCACAAGGAAAAAAATCTCAGAATATGAAATGCATGGCAATACGGACCTAGATCCTTTACTGTATACTTACAGACTGTTGAGAATAAAAGCACTATTACCAAAAAGGGATCAGGAAAATCGAACCCATTTAGGCTTTGACCGGCAGGTAGTTTGTCGAAATTCTCTTCACTGTTAAGAGTAAAGGAAACATACTCTGGTCTAAAGTCTGCAGCTAAACCCCAACTGATAAAATGAAGGAAAATCAGTAGTCAAAAATCAAGAGAGCTAACTCTGACTTGTTAATATAACGTGGCTAGAGGCAAAGATGTCAAGAAAATTCAGACGAAAACCATTTATTTCTTGGTTCAATGAAATATAAACCACTAAAAAGAACTAATGACTACTGAAATAACTAGTTACCACTTTTGTCTAATGCCAATGTGATGTAGTACTTTACAGTGACTATCACTCTTGTATGGAAACTGTCTAGTAATTAGTTAAGCAAAATATTTAAGTTTGTACAATACAAAGTTGAAATGTGTCACATGAACTTACCGGGGCACCATTAATATCGTCTGGAATTCCGCTTGCTCCTGAAGTACTTCTTACATACTGCATTGGGTTTGAAGCTGAAAGGTATTTCAATTTTTAGTGTTAAAACTGTAAACATCACTACAAATATAAATGTGATATTAATTAACTACGGTATAAATAGTGTAGATATAATGTTTATTATGACTCATAAAACACAACCAGCACATCAAAGGTGAACATATTAAGACGATTTTCGTTCAATTATGTTTACAAAAATCAAAAAGCCAACAATGAAAAATATTCTAATGGCTAAATAATTCGGACGAATCTAATTTAATTGGTTGACTTCTAAAAGATCAACAATGAATTACCTGTAGATTGGTTACCTTGAGCATAATGCATCACTTTAACATACAAATTATCAATCTAATTTATATTCATGAAGCACTAATGTATAACGTTAGAAATTACTTTTAATCTACCCAGCATATGTCTCTGAAAGCAATGTACACTGTGTTGTCGCTGGGATTATTAGACCTACAGTTTTACTAATCTACAGAGACTAAGCTAAGCTTAAAAGAGGGAACTATGATTTGTCGTAGATGAAGAAAAATTTCAAAACATCTTTGTCTGTCCCTTTAATCGCATAATTGCAGGCATATTTATTGGTATTCATGTTTTGGATCCGATACTTTAGGAGTTACAAAAATATCTTTTAAAGGGACTGTGTCCATGCTTAAGTCAAAGAAAGATATCTCAAATATCCCTTGTACCTTTAGACCTTTTCTTTAATCTGAAGTTAATTAAACAAATGTTACAATAGAATCTACTTGATGACACTTTTCAGAAGTTTGCAACACCGATACTATTACCGAAAACCCCAAAGATATTCTGAGTATAGTGAATACTATGTAAGGTACTGAAAATTAAACTCAATATTCATTTCGTGTTAGCTTCTCAACAAACTACCTCTTAGTTCTCGTGGTAAAAGTAGATGCTTCCGACATTTTCACAATGCTACGTACAAATAACTAGTATTTGTAGAGAATATATTTTGTTATCTGCTGACATACGGACAGGCTACATCCAGATTACTGCACTGAGAATAGTTTAAATTAGTCCTTAATTAACAATTAATCCCACTGAAAATTAGCTTTTTACTTTTAATACTACTGGTCAAAAATCCGCTACTGCATAGTAGTGATCACAATTTAGGTGTGAAAACATACCAAGTAACTGTACCGAAAACACTGTTTAATACCACTGAAAGTGATATTTCACCACACAGAAAAGTTTATGACCTCGAAAACAACACCTTCTTGATGATGGACAGTGTTGAAGCTCAATATGTTCAAGAGTCCATATGTTTCCATGTCCTTCCTTATTTTAATAATGAGTGAATCGGTAACTTTCGCCAAAAGTAGATCACTGACAACTTAAACCAGCGAACATATTCAGAAATTAAAAAGATAAGAGAAACCAGATTCAACTCCATACTCTTTGACACTTTAAACAAATTTGGGTAGAGTAGCAAGTGAAGACGCACGAGTTTCATCTCATTCTTCTTGATAGTCCAAATACAGTTTAACGATGAAAATGTCGAATGTTAAAATTACATCTAGATTCGTACTTACATATACGTAGATTTTGTATAAACCCCACAGACATGGTTTCGATTGAGTCAAAAGTAAAATATTCAACTTACCAAAGCTTAAAATCTACCAGTATTAAAACTATTTATTAGTTTCATTTGCAATAATTCAGAAAAATATAGTGTATCCAACCTTATCTATTTTTTATTTTTTTTATTTTTGATTATAGCTTGATGCCACACCGTATTTTCAGTACAAGTATGGAATTTTCACCATGGATATCGGTAGCCCAAATTTTGCAGGCCAACCATAGATATCGGGCGTGCGTCGGCAGGGGACCGAACCCCGGACCATGTGCATGGTCGGCGAGAGTCCTAACCACCGACGCACACGATGTCGCAATTCATTCCATGAAGCGCCTATGTATTACTCAAATGTTAAAATACTCTTTAAAGGTAAAAATGCTTTCTTACACCCATCAATCAAGCTTTCTAGTTTAAGTGAGTCGTGCAGTAGAGTGAACAGCTATGAATTAGATACAGGTAATTACACTTCGTCTAATTCACTAAATTAAAGTGAGACCTTACGCCATTAATGTTGCGGATTACTAATGTTTACTTCTAATTTTTTGAAGAATTTAATTCATTTTTCGAAATAATTTTTGGAATTTCAGTCAAAATAAATACAATGGTTTTGTTAATAACTCCGTTTTTCCAAATGAAACGAAGCCAAAGGGAGGCTAGATAAGGACTTAAAAATGGACGATGGTGATAGGTGAGATAACAAATTCAGTCTTTATACATGCAAGGCCTACAACAATTCAGAAATAATGCATTTGTCATATGGTCTGTCAATGTAGAAATGATTCTGAATCGATGCGAATTTCTGTATTTTTTCACTGTCAGTCACACTATTTCTGGACTAGTGTAGTTTTCTGCACTCACCAAATGGTTTTGTATACGGGAGCGACAAAGCGCATACCTCTGCTGACTTAAATAACTTCAAATAATTCGCTGTACACGCCAAAGTAAAAAATTCAGGGAAAGTGTGGAGATAATTTCCAAGTGTCTGAACGTGAAAATTCGAACGTATTTTCAGGTTTTAAGTGAAATGCGATGCATTACACAAATTACCCTAAAACTTTTACCAGAAGACTCTAATTGGGGTTATAATCTGAGTAAGAGTATATTTAAGTAGATAATAATCCTTGAAGTAATCATTACCTGGTAACAAAAAGTTTCAACGAAAAATATTCGATAATCAGCAAGTATTCAGCAGAACAATCTGTATTTACAACCAAATGCTTAAGTATTTGGTTGCAAATGTGAATATGTAAATATTAATAGATAAGGCATAGAAGTACAAGTACAGTGTTAGAAAGTGGACGAGTGGCTTATCATACAACTACAGTACCAAGAAGTAAAGAATAAAAGTAGACATTTAAATAACACTCACGCCTTTCATCAGGTTCATCTTTTTGACAAACAGAATCCTGGATACCATTGCTCTGACTATCGCAGTATTTGGCATACATTGAAAATGAAATAAAATTATGTGAACTCAAAGTCAAGAAATAAAACCCAAGAAACGTGAAAACTAACTAACTTTTCAGAAAAGGCGCGGAAAAGTTCATTTACTTAATGCTCAATACCTTATTGTTTTGACCGACTTTTATAAACCTTTGCTATCGCTTCCTACTTTTCCGAATGACTCTGTACTTTTAATACAACACATTAAATCTACTGTACAGACAGTAGCAGTTATGCTGGGCGCAATAAAGGAAGATGTATTTCACATTCTTCCAAGTGAATAAAGTATATAAATTCCAAATTATTTGCTTTTGAATTAACAAAGGTAGAAGCTAAATTTCTTCCATAGTAAATGCTAGTCGTTTTCGGGTCACCAGTGATAGGATATGGCTTTCTTCCATATTCATATGTAACGATTATGTCAAATGCAATCTAATTTGAAAGCAATCTAGATTACCAGTGTACAAGCGTTCACAAGAACTTCTTCAATCCTAAATACCCCAGACTGGCCATCTCAAAAAATTCAAATCAGTAAGGCACTGGGAGTTATGCATTATTATGTGAACAGCACTCGGTAATTAGCATAGAGTACTCAGAATTGACTGAGTCAGTGAAGACTCAGCAGGCCAAATGTATATATAGTAAACATGAGAAGTAACAAAAATTTTGAGGTCACTCTACCAAACAAATACTTGTTTATGTGATATAATAATCACAGGTTGTCGATAATTTGCCGTAAAAATTTGCCTCCTATTCGGAGTGACTTTCGATGAAAACTGAAGCCCACTAGCTCAAATAATATTATGGGCCTTCATGTCAACAAAGTCACCAACAAGTAAACACTGTGTATTTATTCTAAATTATCTAATAGCCTAAAATCTATCGAAAGTTTTCCGAAGTTTCCCGATAATTTCGACAGACACCTGTTCAACCACTCTTACATATCCATATCGAAATTGCAAATAGAAGCCTTGTCTATGGGTTCGAAGTTTTGCGATATCGATCTCATTGTCAACAAGCGTCATACATATGTGCAGTATGAGATTCTACTCAGCCAAACCTATGATCTCATACTATTGTCTGTCCAAGATTTTCAATGCCTCGAATCTACAATAACTGATTCTTGCAATCAATACCTTAGTACTAAACCAAAAACACGAAGTCTTCTGAAAAAGCAGTACAAAGAAGAGCTTAAACTATTACCACATAATAAAGATTTGCTGTGGTGAGTGCTACTTATAATCCGATATAAGTAGTATATCAGAAAGCGAATTCAGAAGAGTAACAATATGCTTTGCGCATTGGAAAGAGCGATCAAAGAAGAGAACCATGAGAAAAATGTTGCCATATGATGCAGAATCCAAGAAGCTATCGAATGTGACGATATTTGACCAATTCGTCAAGGATGTGGTAAATGATGTCATGTGCAAATGGCAGTTTGAAAATATGGTATACCAAATTTACCTATGTACAATACGTTTCACCAAATAAACATTCCTTTCAGCTCCCTCGGTTTTTTCTTCTTTACAATACTATTGACAGGCCCTGAAAAGGGTGCAGGTGTTGTTATAATGGATCGTAAAGATTACATCATTAAAATATCCCATCAACTTTCCGACAGCTGTAAATTCTCGAAACCGAACGAGAAAAACAAGACGGGATTGCTCGAAAAGTAACTTACCGAAGCTATAAAAAGAATGAAAAACAATCATCTTATTCGTGAAGAACTTTACGAAAAGATTAGGCCAGCAGGATCTCTAACACCAAGACTCTGGTCTACCAAAGATATACAAAGCTGACTATCCACTCCACCCTATCTTGGATATGTTAGGAAGCTGCCAGTTATCAAGTTTGGATTCACTTGTTCGCAGGGCTCATCCTCCTTTTTACAACTAAAGAATAACCCAGTTCAAAAAGAAGCTATAGAGAAGTTCTTTATTTTGTGGTCCAAATATCAGGATCAATTTGCAGGATAATTAGTTTCTGTATAGTCTGTATTTCACATTTTAATGCTTTCTTCAATTTATTGTTTATTTATAAACAGTTAATTCCAAACCGTGCCTATAGAAGCCCTTGGTCTGTATATCCACTCGATATATTATTTGCGCATATGCCTCTTTTCGATTTTGGGCCAAGTTAAACTTTAGACACCAATAACTACCAATCACCGAACGACGTCGAATTATCCAATGAGATTCAGCAACGTAGTTCAATGTTGTATAGCGCTTGATTCATTTCAATGCGTGCCCTTACAAGTTTACGTTTGCAATTCGAGGAGGTTAGTGTCTTTCAGTATTGCCTGGACTTAGGCTTGCTTGTAAAGGAGAGAAGTTGTTCGTGTGGTGGTGTAATGACTCTAAAAAGCTATACTAGGTCAACTGATGATTTTTTACATCGTTGTGGAATATGCTGGAAGCGAGTTAGTATTAAAGAGGGTAATATTTCGTAGGAAATTTTTTTGCCAGGTCGCATCTCTCCCTAACCCAGATTTTGTACATTTGCAATTACTGGGTACTGAAACAGCCCGTGAGAGCCGCTGCTGCCGAGACAGAGAACAGCCTCGTCTCAACAGTTCACTGGTATACCATTGGTATACCAGCACTGCAGGGACATCGCCCCATGGAAAATGGACAGAATTACTTCGTTGTTAGGCAGGGACGACGTAGTAGTCTGTGTGGATGAGACAGTGTTGGTGAAGAAGAAATATAACCGCTGTCGTCAGAGAGCGAAAAACATTGGGGTCATAGGTTTATACGACACGTCCCTCCGAAAAGGATTTGTTGAAGGAATAGCAGACAGGAAGGCGACTACTCTGGTACCTATTATAAAGCGACTTGTGAAACCGGGATCAATTGTACATACCGACGAGTGGAAAGGTTATGATTCATTCTCATCCCTGGGATACATTCATCACAGAGTCCAATATCCAATATCCTGATTACGAGCTAGTATAAACCAGTGATTTCTTTGAGCTCGCTTCTTGATTGTAAGGTAGAGGTTCCAGATCTTCGGTGAACTTATGCGCAGTAAATCCCGCCACTCGACTGCTTTAGCTCTGGTAGACTCCAAGAGGAGTGGTGCGAGGATTGGTCAAGATTGTGGTTTGTAGTGTGCAGTATGTTAGGACCCAGCTGCTGCCGTGAATGGAGTTTGACCTAACACCCGTTGGTCATTCGGTATGGTCATAAAAGTAGAATAGTAATAATAATAATAGGTTGTAGTGTAGATAATATAGGTTGAGATAAGTGAAATAATAAAGGTGAAATTATAAGGAAAGAAAGAAAAGATAGAGTAGTCGGTACAGTGAGAGAAGACAGGACAGGGCGTGGGGATTTAGCTTGTATGCTTATCCATTGACAATGTGGTTTCAAATTTTAAGAGAGTAAGCCATTGAGACACAAACCATGCATTTCTGCATGATTGTCCAGCTTCCGCTTAAAAGTCTCCACAGATGGAGCTGTAGTTACGGCCGCCGGTAAAGCGTTCCAGAGACGGCAAACTCGAAGCGAGAAGAAATGTGAACGCACTCGAGTCCTTGGTCTCTGGTGTGCTATCCTTAGCGGGTTACCTCGTGGAAGCCTGTAATCACTTAATGGCAGGATGCTCTTGTTAGGGTGGGCCTGGTCATTTAAGATCTTATAGACGGTGATGAGGTCTCCCCTGTGACTACGGTAACTAAGTGTGAAAAGACTTAATTTCTTCAGTCTTTCCTCATATGATTTGTTGCGGAGGCCGATCACCCATTTTGTCGCTCGTCTCTGGACACTTTCTGCAGTGTTAGCATCCCTTTTGAGTAGCGGAGGAGCAATGATATTATGCATCTCAAGGAGTGGCCTCACGTATGTCGTATCTAACGTTAGGAATAGTTCAGGAGTAAGAGCTCCCAGCTGCCTATGCATAAAGTGTAAAGTGACGTAAGCTTTGGCGACGTCCCTCGTGCAATTTACACTGGTGTCTAGCTTTTCTGTTAAAATAAGGCCTAGATCGCGTTCTGATGGCACACAACTCAAGTTCTGGCCACCAAGGGTGTAATTTGCACTCTGTGACCTGCCGGAATGAAGTTGCACTACTTTGCACTTCTTTAAGTTGAAAGGCATTCCGTTAGCCAGAGCCCAGTCTCCCAGCGTTTGCAGGTCAGCCTGCAATCTGTTGGAGTCCTCCGATGAGTTTATTGCTCTCCAAATCTTTACGTCGTCAGCGTAAAGAAGCGCAGAGCAATTCAGTTGACAGGGCAGGTCGTTGATAAAAATCAAAAACATCAACGGCCCTAAGATAGAACCCTGAGGAACCCCTAATGCCGAGGTGTGCCAGGATGATCGGATGCGGTTGACTTTGGTGCAGAATTCTCTCTCGCCTAAATAATCTTCCAGCCATGCGAGAAGTGCTCCAGAAACACCCGCTTTGCTTATTTTGTGAAGGAGCAGACCATGGTGAACTGTGTCGAATGCTTTCGCAAAGTCGAGAAAGATCACATGGACTGGTACCTTTGCATCCCAGGATAGTGTCCAATCGTTCCAAGCTAGTAGAAGATTCGTCACACAGGATCTTCCCCTCCTGAAACCGTGCTGTGCTTCATGGAGTAGGTTAGTCCCGTCGAAGTATTTTCTCATGTGGTCGTCAATGAGACTTTCCAATATCTTCGATATCACTGGGAGTAGCGCAACTGGTCTGTATCTGGTCGTGTTCTGCCGGTCACCACCCTTGAAGATAGGGGATAGGATGGCTCGTTTCCATTCACATGGAAGTTTCCCTACATCAAAGGAGTGTTGAAACAGATCACTTAGGGGTTGGCAGAGACTTTCTGAACACTGCTTCAGGACGGATGGTCTTATGTCGTCGCAACCTGCAGACTTTCCCGAAGCCTACTTTCCCAATTTTACGAGTACCATAGCCGGGGTAATTTGAAATGTACCCAGCAGGTTTTCGCACGTTGGTCTTGCATTGTAATCTTGATGTTTTGTGGGGATAAAATCCTCATTACTGTTCAGTTGCCTGTGAAAGGCTAGACTGAATGTCTCTGCCATTTCAAGACTAGTAAGAGATTTCCCATCAGAACCCACTAGATTGCAAGCTCCCTGGTTGGTCGGTTTTCTTTCAGA